TCAATAACGGTTTAGTCCTTCAAATCATTGTTTAAAGAAGAGGTCACATAACATTAAAATATGCTAACATATACTTCCTCTATTTAAAAAAGTAAGAATTTTTTGAGGGTTGAATGTTAAAAAATATAAAATATTTTTAATATTTTAATGTGTAATTAATGTGTTTTTTTCAAAAGTGTAATAATAAATAAATCAATTTATATTTATTTTAAAATAAAGCATCATATTAAATAAGGTTAAATATAAAAAGATGATATTAGTTTAGAGATAATTAACTATTTTATTGAAAAAAAAGTTAGTTATAAATGCCTTATATTTTTTAATAAAGGGAGTGTAAAGAATATTGAGTTGACAATCATCTAAATTAATGATAAAATTAAATTGACTTAAAGGAAACATTGTTTTCATTTAGCCGTATATAATATATCAAGTCATCAACATACCTTATACCTCAAATTAATTTAAGAATCAATTTGTGTTTCAAATCCTAAAAGACTAAAGTGACCATTTAAAAAAATGTAGTAGATTAAATTAATAAAAATTAAACTTAAAAACTAAATCAATAACTAAACAAATTTGAGAAATTAGATATTATGAAGTTTATTTTATTATATAATTTACTATCTTAGTGGAGGTAGTCTTAAATTTTTTTTATTTGTAAAAATTAAATATATAATTGTCTTATAAGTTCCTTATTTACATTTTTATTATACATTTGACATTTACTATTTATTTATTTATTTTGTTTTGGTCCTTCATCACATTTTTTAAAACCGGCCTCCCCTGCAATTTCTTTTAACATATAAAATTAAAAGTAAAAATTTAATAATATTGGGTTTTATAATACTCTGACCACATTTACAATAAAAAGTAGAGAGATTAAAGCATAATTTTAAAATTATGATTGATTATAGTTAGTTGTCTACAGCATTCAATGTTGGCAATTTTAATCTTTTAAAATAAAATTTTAAAATTTGTTTGTAATAATAATTAGATTACAATAGAATTATAGTAATTTATATTGGATTTATATTTAGTAAATAACCTAAATTCACTCATTTAATAAATATATCAATTATATCCATTGAATTGTATTAATGCTTAAAAATTATCAATATATATATTCTCTCTAAAATTTCAAAATAACTCAACAATCAAAATACTTCTAACATATATTATCCCATCTAAAAATTAAGATTTGATGGTTTGTTTAATATATATGATAAAATATCTGACAACAATCTAATTAAATTAAATTGTTATTATCATGTCATGTGATGCTAATTAAATGAGAGGATTTATCTCATTCATTGAATTGAAATTCAATTTATCTCACAAAATCATTGTAGTTTTACTTTAATTCATTGACAAATTTTATTATATACTTCCTCTATTTTTAAATATAAGCAAAATTTTCATGTGGGATGTTGTTATTTTTATTAAGAAAAAGTATTCAATCAAAAGAAAAGAAAAGAAAAGAAAAACTGCAAAACAATAATTTAAAAAATACCATTAATGACATCTTTTCTTAATTGCACCTCATTAAATGATAGTATCATTAAATTATGAAAAAATAAATCATTAATCACAAGTATATATTAATACACTCTGGTCAATTTTAAATATAACCATCAAGATTAATCAAATTTTTTTAAAATTTGTAAATTGATTAAATTTTTCTTATATATAAACATGGAGAGAATAAGTCGATTGATTTAAACAATAAAACATTCTATTTTATAATTTATTATTTAAATTTGTATTTTATACACAATTAATTATCTTATACATATACAAATATAAAAAACCAATGACAAGTCTCATACCTTTATTAAAAAATCTACTAGGTCTCACATATATTATTTTTAGGGAAAATATCTATCAAATATTATTAGAGAAAATTTATATCAATTAAATATTACTTGTTGTTAAAATTAGGGTTGTGCAAAAGTTTTTCAATCCTGTCTGATCCAGTCCAACTCAAGATGGTCTAAATCTTTTTTGGTCTGTATAGATACTAGTCCTTCAAGATTAAAAAGACTGAAAAGACCTGACTAGTTCTTCGGGTTGGACTGGACAAAAGGCTCGGCATTCAGACCACTTGGTCTAGTCTAGTCCTATTAATTTTTTTATTATAATTATAATTAATTTATTTTTTAAAAATATTTGAAGTGTAATTAATGCTAAGGAGATAATTGTATGAAAATTTATTGAGTTTATTTCTAAATTATTGTAATGTAGTGTTGTTGAATTTTATTGAGTACTGTTTTTGTTAAAGTTATAAGTTTAAATCATTTGGATTATAACAGAAATATTTTTTTATTGTTGAAAATTATTATAGATTTATTACTATTATAAATATTTTTACTATTTTAATTTAGTTTATTATGTTAAAATTGATTATTGTCTCTCATAGAATAAAAAGAAAAAAAAGTTAAATGAATACTAAATTGACAGGACCAGTCTCTTAGTCCTATGGACCAAGTCTAGTCCTATTAATCTTTGAGTTATCACTGAATAAGACCAGACTACGGGTTGCCTAACCCAGTCCATGAAGAGACCGAATTTCGAGTTAGGATGAAATTCAGTGCCGTCCTGTCTTTTATGTAGCTCTAGTTAAAACTTAAATGAAGACTTGTTAATGTTGGTTAATCTTTTATCAAAAAGTATCTATTCAAGTTTTAACAATAATTTATTTTAAATTAATAATAGTTTATTCAAGTTTATTTTTTATTTGGGTTTTCATAACAATCGGTCCTTAATAGATATAGATTTCTTCTTCTATCCTTGATTGCTATTTTTCTTTATTTTTAGTGAGAGATCAACTTTTAACATGCAATGATTAAATTAAAAGGAAAAGAAAAGAATCATGTTTAGTGTTCATTTATAAATATATAAGATTCTTTGAAAAAAAAAAAAACAAAGCAAAGGCCGATTGGCACCGTCCTCACAGAGGGAAATTCCATCCCATTATTAGAATAAAGTGAGCGACCACCTACCTCCCTCAAATGGTCAAAGCAAAAGGTATCATATGGTAACTCAATCTAAATTTTTAATCTTAATTAGAAGCACAAACTATATTTTCATTCTTTGAATTTTATTGAAATTTCAGTCTAGTCCTCAATTTATTTTAAATTTTGACAAAAACATCCTCTTGTTTGGGTTTGTGCTTTTAGTTTTTTCCCCCTTTCGGCCTTATGACTGCGACTTTGATAATTACTCACACTTCGTCTAATTACTCCAATTTATAGTGATGTTTCACTGACTGATGAGTTTACAAATGAAAGAGGTTTGTTTTTTTTTTTTGTGGGTTTAAATTTCATAATAAACTAGAAATGTGTGCCTATATATGACACGAAGACACTATCATGTGGAGAATTATGATACAATGGCGTACATATAATAAACTTTACGATTTAATTCAGATTTACAAACAGTCCAAAATTACAGTAATCAAGCACTTGAATAATTAAAGATAAATAGCCAAATCATGCAACATCATCTGCAAACTAAGATTTTTTTCTTTTGACAGAATTCATATATTTGTAGATAGACAATGAATAGATTTGTTGACAATAATAAACTATAGCACGAGATAAATACTTATTTAATAATTTTCTTACGCAAGGATATATTGATTTAGATAAAAGTTTTTGGCAAAAAAATCAAAATTCAAAATATTAAAAAGGTAGACAGAAAAATATAAGAGCTGTGCTAGTAGAGATGAATAAAATCAAATATTAGTCACATTATTTATACCACTTAAAGTTGTGCAGGTTTATATTATATGGCTCAATAAGTTTGTCTTCTTCAAGCCATTTGGGCTTATCAAACAAGCATTGGATTCAAGTCAAATCTTGCCTTGTTTTATTAGAATTGATATGATGTCTTAATCCAACTCAACTCATATGAATCTCATAATGCTTATGAATAATTTATAAACAATGATATTTTCTTTTTTTTATTTGTTAGGAACAAGAATTTTACTCCTCCAATAATAAAGTCTAATTTCTTTTAAAGTATTAAGAGAAAAAGGTAGATCATTTATAACTAAATTTGAACCCTCATCTATTTAAGTGATAAGAATTTATACCATTCACATGCATTAAAAGTTAGTTAAGCAATGGAATTTTATAATTTTTAATTAACATTTTTATATCTACTATTAATCCAAATTTAATTATTGTTAGCCTCAAATAGAGTAGATATGATTTTTTTTTATATTAGCAAGTTTCGATGTAACTCATATGTCAAAAATATCTCCTCAACTTATTTTTAAACTTGAAAAATGACAAAGAAATTCTGACAATAAAAATTATGTGAAATGTTATAATTTGTTTCAAGTATTTGAGAGCCTTTCTAACATTAATAATTTGTATAAAATGACTAAAATACTCACCATTTAAACTAAATTAATAATTTTTTATTCAATCCTAACCATTATAAAAAATAGTCATTACTTAAATTAAAACAAACTTATCTTATCATATAAAAAAAAAGATCATATATGAAATGATCGCTATATAGCTAATAATATTTACAACATTTAAATTTTAATAAATCCAAAGTTTGCATAAGAAAAATTATAATTTTTTATTTCATTCTAGTTATTATAAAAAATAATTATTGTTTAACTTAAAGTAATAATTAATATTTAATTTTTTTGAGGTTAAAGCTGTTATTTTTTATTTTAAACTGAAAATATTATAGTCATCTTATCAAAAATAGTTAATGTTATAAAGATTTTAAAAATTTAAGAAGAATTATGGTATTTGGTTTATTACATTACAATTTGCATATTAGATTTTTTTTTTTGGGTCATTTTGAGACATGCTTGGCCTCATCGAACTTCGGACCTAATTTCCCTAATTTTGTTAAAAAAAATAACTTAAAGATTGAATTAGATTAATGATTTTTTTTTTTTTTTTTGCCAACAATGATTAATGAATCACGTTTTTTAGGGATTAAAAATGTAAAATTAGATGTTCCGTCACTTACAAGCAGAGCCTACTCATCCTGGCCCTGTGCTCTCTCTCTCTCCCCTCTTATAGTTCCCACTTTCTGGCCGGGAGAGCAAATTTCCTTTAACAAAGCCTCCTTTCTCTCTCCCTCTGCCCGTATAATTTCAGAACAGAAGGCTACATATCGAAGATTAAGAATTTGAATCTCACGAAGCCGTGAGAGCTCTTCTTAACAACTGCAATATTATTCAATCCCTCGTCGAAAACCAAAAAAAAAAAAAAACAGAAATTAAGCGGTAAAAATGGTGTCGGCAAACAAGGAGATGGCTGTGTACTGTTTCGACACCCTCGTCGCTCACTACAACAGCGAGGATGCTCCTCCCCCTGCCTTCGATGAGGGTCAACAGTAATAACTCTCGCTTACATCTCTTTCTTCACCATATCTTCGCACCTTTTTTTTTTTTTTTGTTTCTGTTTTCTTGCACGTTGGTATTAATGGGGAGGATTCTTGAATTGGCTCATGATTTTGCCGTCATGGTCGTTTTTTTAATTTTTCTGATCGGTTTAAGATCATAATTTTGTGTGTTATTTGTTGGCTTTCCTTTGTCCTTGATAAATTTCTCGTCTTTTTTTGTATGTTACTTTCGCTCTGGCTTCTAAGCTTGTATAAGTAATCCTGCATTGGTGCGTCATGGTTACGGGTGACCTGTGACACGGCATTTCAAAGAACGGAGAGAATAATTTTATAATCTTGCCAAACTTCTTGTTCAGAAGTTATAACTAGCATTTTTTGTCAAACGTGATGAATATAACTCAACACTATAGTTTTTAGACGATTACCATACTATGGGTTTACTTTGTGTAACAGTTGACTCTGATGAAAATCTCACAATTTCAGTAGTTTCCTCCATGATGACTAAATTGGATATGAGCATGCATGTAGCTTTTGCTAAATATTATGAGGTACATATTTTTCTAAATATTATTAGCTTCTTTATTCTTTATTTATGACTCGTGAATTTCTTTCTCTTAATTAGATTAAGACTTTGTTGTCATTGTCCCTGGACTTTGAGCGTTCTCCGTGTTGGCAACTAGATCTACAAGTCTCCTTTATAAGCATGAGCTAACACGTTGAGGCACATAATCTATAGTAATTTCTAGTGCCGCTTGGTGAAGCTTGTTACCCATTAGAAGGAAAATTATGTATTTTATAGAGAATGCAATTAAGTTTCTGAAGAATCCTTGTTATCAGGGAAATAAATAGATTAAAGGTACCACTATTGTCTTCTGTACATCTTTTGAGTGAAATGTTGAGATTTACAGTTCTTATTGACTTGTCATTCATGTAGGTCTCTTCGATGATGAATATTTTCAACATGTTTGCATGCATGTGCTGAATCTATGGATATCCTAAGTTGTCTGTATCTATTGTTATAATAGGCTGGTTTTCTAAATATCCTAAGTTTTCCCCTTAACTGTATTTTAAATTTTGAATTCGATCTTGGCTATATGATGACTGAGAATTTGGTCATATGGGATTCACATCTGGAACGCTATTATGTTATTTCAATAACATTTTTGTCTTTTATCTTCGTCTTCCTTTAATATTGTGTCGGAATATTCAATATTTATTATAAATATTGTATTGCCTTCATTTGCCTTTACTTGTATTTATTAGGCTTTATTAGAAAGTATTGCCCTTCTTGTATATATAGTCAACATGTACCTCAGTATTATAATCAATGAGAAATATTTTCTCTCTCAAATTCTACATGGTATTAGAGCCTGGTTGGCTCCATTTTAGGGTTTTTTTGTTCTTCTCAAACGTGGCACTAGTGCTGGACACAGAGCAGCAGAGCGAGGGTGAACGTGTGTGCGAGCAAGGAGTGTGAAGTAGATCTCATTGCCCACAAAGGGACCTTCGGCAGCCTCTGATTGGCCCAACCCCAGGATGCTGTCATCATTGGCAACACGTGTGCGATACACACACAAGAGCTTCATTTGGCATCATAAAGTGAAGGGTGGCGCATGCAAGCGCATGGGGTTTTCTCCGATGGTAGTCTGTCTTCTTGGCGACGACATGTGTTTTCTGGCCAAATTCCATTAGTCTTTGTGTTTGGGTAACATTGTTTAGAATTTTCGTCATGTGTGGTTTGCTGTTCTGAGTGTTTTTTGGCCACTATGGTTCGTGTGGCACATTATATCACTTCAAAAAGCTAAAGAGGTTTGCTCGGTGCGTCTAGATCTACAACCTGAGGCCAAAAATTCTAAGTTTGAATCTGTTGTGGGAGGTATGTTAGATTTTGTATCCTTAGTATTAGTGGCTGAAAAAGGTAACTTCTTTAAGCCCTAAAACCTTGTGCTGAATCTTTGCAGATTGTTGACTCTGGCACCTCAGATCATATGATTGGTTGTCATGAGTTGTTTACTTCTTACATCCTATGTGCTAGGAATGTTAAAGTAAAGATTGTAGATGGCTCCTTAGCACTTGTAGCAGGATAAGGGAGTATTTGAATTTCATACTCTATAGGTCTTGCTTGGTATGAAGGATTGAGGGATTGAGATTGGGATGGAGTAATGCCAAGTTTTCATGTTTGGTGGGAATGAAAATTTTAATGTCGAGCCCAATCCCATCTAGGTGGAAATACCCAATACCACCTCCCCTTGTTATTGGAAAATCAATCCCCGGATTTTAAATTTCTAGACCAAATCGCCCCTTATTCCATCCCTCTCCCTGGTTAGAGTCGTCCCTAGCTCTATTGTAGACGTCGTGCTGGCGATGCTATGCCGGCGACATTGTCTTCCACTCGTGGCAACCATCTTCAATCATTGTCCTTGTGTCTCAGATCTCAAATCGCAAGGCTTGATTTTCTCCCTCACATCTCAGATCTCAGATCTCAAATCCTAGAGCTTCAAGACTGGTAGGGCCTTCTCCCTCATGTCTTAAAGATTTTCCAATTCGAGAGAGATTGACCTAGTGATCGTCTTAGACCTTCACCATGCCTTTCCAGCTTATAGTTCTAGAAGAATAGAGCATTATTCTTATCTTTTTGCTATCGGCCATGAATAAACTTGACAGCAGAGCTTTGCAAACAAAGGCTAGTCACCTCATCTGGAAGAGTGAGAGAGATTTATGGATGGTTTGGCAGCTGTGGAGGTTGAAGAGGAATGAGAAAGACAATTCGAGTTTGTTACCTAGTTTTTGTTGGATGTTAGTCTTAACTTTTTTTTTTTAATCCTATATCATACCAAGCATAATTTTAAAACTTAATCCCCCTCCCACTCCCATTACCAATGCCATTCCCAATCCCATAAAATTTAATTTTTTGTACCAAACAAGGCCATAATGTTGAAGTCTATACTTCATGTGCCTAAGCTTGATTGCAATTTACTTTCGATCAATCAATTGACCAAGCAGTCAAATTGTTATGCTAAATTTCTCCCATGCCACTATATGTGTCAGGACCATTCATTAGAGCGACAATTGAAAGTGCTAAAGAATATGAGAGGCTCTACAATTTCGAAGTCTCCACTCAAGTAGGTAACTCATTGGTTGTTGGTAACTTTACAGCCACCTCTAAAGTTAATAATTTTATGGTGTGGCAAAAAAGGATGGGCCATTCTCATTTTCATTACCTTAAACGTTTGTTCCTATCTATATGCCCAAACCTGAATATTAATGACATTCAATATGAAATGAATGAACTTGCCAAACACCATAGAACTTCCTTTCCTAGAACCACACACCTACTAAACCGTTCACAGCCATTCATAGTGACTTGTGGGGACCATCTCGTACACCCAATCGTACTGAAACATGGCCTATTTCTTTCATTGATGATCATGCTTGTGTCTTTTGGGTTTATATTTTAAGAAACAAGTCTGAGGTTGCATCCACGTTCATGAACTTCTTCAACATGATCAAAACTCAGTTTAACACCATCATCCAAGTCTTATGCACCGATGATGGCACTAAGTGTTGTAACCAATCTTTGAGTGCTTTCCTTCAAATGCATGGTATTGTCCATGCCAGTTCTTGTGTCCATATGCTCCAACAAAAATGGGGTTGCAAAAAGGAAAAATCGCCATATACTTAGTGTTGCTAGAGCACTCATGTCTACTTGCAATGTGTCTAAGTTTTATTGGGGGTACTATTTTGACCACAACCCACCTAATTAATCATATGCCTAGTTGAATTTTATTCTTTGAAATTCCTCTTCGCAAAATTGGGAATTGTTTTCTCCACATCTCATGTTAAAACCAGTCTTTTGCTTCGTGTGTTTGATTTCACAGCTTTTGTCTATAATTACCAAAGCATTAAACTTGAACCCTCGAGCTATCAATTGCATATTCCTGAGCTATTTTTCTACTTAGAAAAGATGCAGATGCTTTGACCTATCTCAAAACACACATTTGTTAGCCTTGATGCCATCTTTCATGAAGATACTCCATTATATCGCAATCCTTTGATTTAGAGGAAGAGCATAGGTGAATTTTAGACTTGGGAACTAGAACCTAATCAAGAACTGGTGCTTTCTGAGCCATGGTTTACATCAACTAAGCCATTACCATTATTTATCCTACCAACACTAACATTTTTTTCTTATGCCACAACTTGGGGATCACAGGTAGATAGTAGGAGATGCAGAAAGACCACAAGCAAGAAAACTATCTGTTTACACTCGAAAAAAGAGATTGAAAGATAGTGAGCAACTTGTATTTGAAGCAATAAGAGAGTCAGAGCCAGAGGTAGCTTTTGAAGTAGAAACTCATGAAAACCTAAAAATTAGGGCAACTCTTGAAACCCTAAAGTTAGTTGGTGCATAACGAGTAAGTGAATCTATTGATCTTGATCTTTCTGTTGCTTTGAGGAAATAGCCTCGTTCATGTACTTTCCATCCAATAGAGAAGTTTGTTTCATACAATACACTTTCTCCTCAATATCAAGCTATTGTTACTAATCTTGATAAGGTGAAGGTACCTGAGACTATATAGGAAGCTCTAAGCATTCCTGAATGGTGGAGTGTTGTCATGGATAACATGAGGGCCCTAAAAAAGAATGGGACTTGAGAACTTGTTCAGTTGCCTAAAGAAAAGAAAATAGTGAGTTGTAAGTGGGTGTTCACCCTAGAATACATGGCTGATGGAACCTTTGACAAGTTGAAGGCATGTTTCGTTGCAAGGGGCTTTACCTAGACACATGGTTTAGGTTATAGAGAAACGTTTGCTCCGGTGGTAAAATTGAACACTATTAGAGTCTTATTGTTTGTAGCAGTTAATCTCCACTAGCCTCTTTACCAACTTGACATAAAAAATGCCTTTCTGAATTGAGAGTTGAAGGAAGAAGTATATATGAGTCTACCTCCTAAGTTTGAGAAAGGCAGAGAAAATCAAGATTGTAAATTGAAAAAGTCTATATATGGCTTGAAACAATTACCAAGAGCTTGGTTTGATAGCTTCTCAAGAGTCCTAAGGCCCGAAGGTTAAAAGCAAGCTCCGTCAAATCATACAATGTTTGTTAAAGTCAAGAGAAACAAGAAATGTATCCATATTGTCTATGTTGATGACATAATACTCGCTAGAGATCATTTTGAGGAGATAGGAAGAGTGAAGGCTGTCCTTGGCAAGAAATTTGAAGTCAAAGATCTCAAGAAGCTAAAATACTTTTTTGGAATGGAAGTTGCTAGGTCAAGAAGAGGAATATATGATTCTCAAAGAAAGTATATACTTGATCTTTTGATGGAGACAAGTATGTGGGGTTGCAGACCTGTTGAAACCCCTATTGAAGTCAAAAAATTGAAGAAGAAACCTTAGGAAAAGGAAGGTGAAGAAGAGGAGGAGGAGGCCAAAGAAAAGGAAGAAACAGTTGACAAGGAGAGATATCAAAAAATTGTTGGAAAATTGATTGATATATCCTTCCCATAAGAGGCTAGATATAGAATTTGTTGTCAATGTAGCTTGTCAATATATGAGTTGCCCAATGCAAAGTCATATGGAGGTAGTCTGTAAGATTTTGAGATATTTGAATGGTACTTTTGGTAGAGGGTTGTTCTTCAAAAAATATGAGCAAAGATCCACAAAAGTTTATACCAATGCAAGTTGGGGTGGAACCTATAAAGATCAAAGGTCAACCTCTAGTTATTATTCATTTGTATGGCATAATTTGGTCACATAGAGAAGTCAAAAGCAAAGAGTTGCTTCAAGAAGCGGCGTTGAATTTGAATTGAAAGCTTTGGCTCAAGGAATAACTAAAGAGTTGTCGCTGAAATAAGGTTGAATGACATACAGGTTGGAGCAAGCTCACCATCAAAGCTCTATTGTAATAATAAGGTTGCCTTAAGCATGGCCTTAAATTCAGTATAACATGACAGGCCTAAACATGTAAAGATAGACTGACACTTCATTAGAGAAAAAGTGAAAGCAAGAATTCTATGTTTGACATGTTTGCCTATGAAGTTGCAAGTAGCTGATGTTTTGACTAAAGGATTAAGTAGACCTACATTTGAGAATTATATAAGTAAGTTGGACATGATTAGCATCTGTGATTTAATTTGAGGGTAATTGTGGGAGTATTCAATATTTATTGTAAATATTGATTGCCTTTATTAGCCATTATCCGTGTTTGTTAGGCTTTATTAGAATTTATTGCCCCTCCTGTATATACAGTGAACATGTACCTCAGTGTTGTAATCAATGAGAAATATTCTCTCTCAAATTCCACACATTGTTTTAATGGCATGTTTTATGTATCAGTGCACTACTGTAAAGGAATAATTGGTCTTTGCCAATGCAAGACCCTCATTCCATGGGATCTGTGAACAAGATGACTGGCAGCTCTGGCGTTTTATTTTAGATTTGTTTTTAGGGTGGTAAATTTACTTCTGAGGCTTCTTTTGTTTCAAGCCCCCTCCCCTTTCCAACCCCCACAAAAAAACCCAAGTAATGATACTATTTTCTTATTTTAGATCTCATAAAAAGGTTTTCAATAGTCAGTTGAAATTCATGTTTGCATAGATGTTTATATAATTCGAATTTTGATTAATTATAATATTAAGAAAATAACCCTTTCAAAAGTTATCCGCTCTCTTAGCATTGAAGTTTTATTTGTAGATTCTACTCAACATCAAGGCATGCAATCAAGCAATAATCATGGAGAATAAATATATCATGTTCATCCTTAATAATTCAGTTCTTACTTTATTGGTTGAATTTGGTGAACAACTTCCTGATTAATGATTGAAATGTTGATCATTGAGGGTTGAAATCTTCCCAAAAAGAAAAAAGTGAAAGAATTACTTTGGGTTTTCGTTAATCAGTTTCTTGTGATTTCTTTCATTCAAGTGAACCAGTAATGTTTGAACTTTGTTTCCTCTTTTTTCCTTCTCTTTTGGTTATTTAGAAATTGAAGGGCACAATATGGAAGCCGCTTTGCAGTTTGGCCTCTCTACTTTATGGAGTGTATTGTTTGTTTAAGAAAGTATCCCATGATACTGGAGTTTGTTGTGGGGTCCTGAACATGTAGGGCATAAGATGTGTGGTTCTCTTACAAATCTGTTTTAATGCTTTACTTCGCCACAAATTCTGTAAATGATAATGTTTCTTTAACTCCATATTTCAATGATAAGTTTTCTATATAAAATGTGATCTTCCCTTTTGTATATATTTATCCTCGCAAATCTGCTAATTTGTTGTATGGATGATTGGTTATAGTGTGTCTATCTTATGCTTTGGTAAATAAGGTTTGAGACTTGTATATTTTAAGAAAGAAAATATTTCTGTTTCTTGTTTAAGTGAAAATACTTTGGTTTCAGCCCTTTGTTTGTTACCTGGAAGAAAGTGGTGAATGGTGGGGAGCCTCGACTTCGAGGTTGTATAGGAACACTAGAAGCACGCTACTTGGTTAATGGCTTCAAAGATTATGCACTGACCAGGTCTGATGATGTAATTATGCATTTTCTTTAGTAATTACATAAACTGCACTTCCTTGAATTATGAACTACAGTCTCCATTCCACGTGGTTGGGAGGGGAGTTCTCTTTAAGTGGGACTGTGTTACTTGCCCCTGTACTTAAAGCATGTTGAGAAATGCTTGTAGCAGGCTTGTTTATATTTGAATTGTGTTTCGTATTGTAAGGACATAACCATAAACATAAATATCATTCAAGGAATTTTTGGATGTTTCTTTCTGATAGAGATCTTTCCTTTTTCAAGCATCATATTGGTGACAAATCTGATGAGTTAATTAGTATCTTCATAAAAAATATCGAATGGCTTGGTTCTGGATAGTTGCTGGTATTCTCATGCAACATACTAGGGACATTGTTATTGAGCTTAGCTTCTGCTGTTTGTTCCTTGCTAGTTACCTTTAGAAGGCTAAGGTTTTTCTAGGTTTAAGCTTTTGTACTGTGTGCATCATTTGTAAAATCAATTTCAGTTATCTGACAGAAAAGTTTACAGAAAATATACAAGGTTTTGATTCTTAAATTATGTTATAAATATTATCAGAACCTTGGGACCTATTTATTTCAATAGCTCATGAATATGCTGATTTTTAGAAGAAAAAATTGAAGGACTCGCTTTATTTCCTTGTCCTGCAATTGGTTGACCATTAATCTTTAAATACTCCTTCATTTTTGTTCTTTGAAATATTTCACAGTGCTCTCAAGGATCGCAGATTTCCACCCATACAGGCTAAGGAATTGCCTTATTTGGAGTGTACAGTATCTATTCTTACTGATTATGAAGCTGCTGACCACTACCTTGATTGGGAGGTATGTGCTGATTTATTTGTTTTATGCAGAGCTTTAAGAAAGAATGTAAAAATAATGTCCATTAGTTGAGCTGTCCAACGGTGATCCTGCATTGTTCTCAGTTCAATGTTTGGTCTGATTTTTTTTTTTTTTTTTTGTAACGCTGCATGTTACTGAATTTTGAGATAGTGTTTCTCATTATAGATGCCCGTTACAGAGAAGGAATGGTTTGTTTTATTGTTTTGAAAAAAATCGACTGCAAAGCTGATAAGCATACTTTGACGTCTTTGTCCTTTGATCCTTTGACATCTAAATCTCACAACAGAAAAATTAACCAATGAAATTAACATATGATGTAATCGATTCATGCTTATTTATGGCCTTGAGTTTCCATTTTATCGTATATGGGTTTCCAAACTCTAGCATAACGCAACATTAACAAACCTAAGATCGATAAGTGATTATGTTTTGTTTTATTTAGGATCGTATTATATATGATATGAAACTTGATTTAAAGTGGCTGAAGCATAAAAATTGTTTCTTGATTGGAGAGAGGAAATTGGGGTTATAAAGCATCTAAGTTGGAACTCTGAGGCCAAAGGAGATTTTTGTGCTGATAAAGATTTATTCTTTTTTGCTAATATTTCTTTGCTTCACAAATATGCTCAGTATGGGACCCCCACTTCTTTTATTTTCTTTTAGGATTAACCTAAAGAAGACAACCAGAGAGTAACTTTGATTGCTACATTGTTTACACATTCTACGTATTTGATGTCTGAGTTTCTGCTTACTAATGATAGGCTTGTGATGATTATATATATTTTTTTAATCCTCTGTGGCTGTGCTGACAGTTCATTATACAATTGTTTTATGTAATATTATGGATGAGGTTGAGTATTTCAAGTACAGAAAACATTAAGGGACCAGACAATGTGCAATGAATGCAAAATATTTGCTTATTTCTTGGTTTTGTGTTCGTTTTTCTTTTTGCACTTTAGATTTCATTCTACTATTTTTCTTGCAGGTAGGAAAGCATGGTATAATTATTGAGTTTATTGATCCTGACCATCATACAAGGCGAAGTGCCACTTACCTGCCTGAAGTAGCTGCCCATGAAGGTAGCTTAGATTATGTTTACTACTCCCTCTGTTCTTTTTTCTTTTTTCTTTTTTCTTTTTTCTTTTTTCTTTTTCCTTTTCTTTCTAGAAAATTTTTGTTTCTATTTATCTGTCTCTTTAAAAGTCCAATAATATTACAATTTTTTCAATTGCACCCGTCTCTTTATTAACTTTAGAAGTTCAAGGCATCATTAATGACTAAAATAAATTAAGAGGATACTAGAAAATCTAAAAGGAATCATAATATGTATTCATTGCATTTCTTAATCGGTTTGTAACTTTGAAAGATTGATGAAAAGAAATGGAGGGAGTATTAGATATAAATTTAAACTAGGGTGGAATATTGCTGATGAAATGAAGGAGGAGATTCTCAAAGGTGAAACACAACTTCTATAACTTCACTCTGACAACTCCACTTTTACAAAAGCACAACTCTTAACCTATCCATAAAAATTTGCATAACCTTTAAACTTCCTCCTATTTACTGGAATTTGCTAAAAATTGTCAATCACATCTTTCTAAATACACTAATATTCATAAATTTCGCGCACAATACTTTTTCCGCATACTTTTTCCAACAAGGATTCAGTTTTTTATAATTTGAACAGGTAACATGAAGAAGTTTCCTCTTAGTTCTTAGCTTGCTTATGGGGAGGTTCTAAACGAGTTAAAAAAAGAAAAGAAATCTGGTCCTTGAAAAAATTATGACTGAAAAATGAGTATTTTTTCTTACAACTGCAATGGCTTTCCTATAATCACTGACCATGGAAATTTTGTCAGCAAAAATTTATGGAGTTGTGTAACGAAATGGCAGAGAGCATTATGAGATCATCTGTTGGTGATATCCATCACTGGAAATGGATGTCCTTTTTATCACGCAGAAGACGATATGTATAATATTTATTATTGACATTCCTGTCCACACAATTACTTTTTTCATTCCATTTTTCCTCTTTGACATGGTTTTCTTATGCCTCTAACTGGTTGATATATAGTGAAATGTGGGTGAAAATCCGACGATCTGTGTCTGCATACTTTGGTTATAGGTTGGACAAAAACAGAGGCCATTGACTCTTTGGTCCGCAAAGCAGGCTACAATGGCCAAATTACCGAGTCACTCAGGAAGCGTTTACAGCTGACTCGTTACCAAAGCACTTTATTTACCATGAACTACAGTGAGTATGTCTCCTATGTGAAGGAGACAAGAGGCGGGCCTGCCTTTATTCTTGGGGCAAAGCCACATCACTGATGCTTCTTACAGCCAATCTTTGCTGAAAACAAAGAATTCCTATACATGATTCTGATTCAATTGTCTGTTGGGTTGGATCTGATTTCTTCTCTAGCCCCAGATACTGTTGTAATTGTTGCAACTTTTCATTCTTCAAATTCATTTGATTTTGAAGAAACCTATTTATCACTGAACTCAGCTTCTGTGACTGTCTACTACTATCCACCTTTTTCAGCAGCGCAAGTACGCTGCAGAAATCTCGAACTGTTTTATATGTAACTCTTATGAATGACTGATATTTCAACTTTTTCTCTGCCATTTCATTTCAGGTTATTTAAAGCTGTTTTTTTTCCCTTTTAAGTAAAAGTGTCTGAATTGTGCAATCAGAGTAGGTGAGAGCTCTATGGTGTGGTTTGGTGAGTTTGAAAAGTTCAAAATTTGTGAGCACTTTTGGATTATTAATGGTTTATTTGGACACTTGTGCCAATTGATTTGGTTAGTGACTACAATTTGCTCGGAGATGTGAGGGTTTAATTTGAAGGGTAAAGGTGCAAATTTGGCTTCAAATTATTTTTCCAAGAGCATCTGATAGTTTAAATTATCAGAGATGGTGTAAAACAAATTATAAATTTTCAAAAATGGAGCATTTAATAGCCCGTCATTAATTTCAGTTAACAGACGTTATGTGGGGTTCATAATGACACGTAGCATGACATGTTAGCATGGTAAAAGTATAAATTTAGTCATGAATTATTTTCTGAGAAGCATTGGGTAGCCTCTATTATAAAAAAAAATGGATCATCCAATACCTTCCCTTTAATTTTGACCAAACATTATTTATTTTTGTACTTATGAAGCCATAAAGCATTAGTCTCTCCATCTTCTTGCCTTCGTTTTCAATCTCAATTCGAAAAGAAGAGGTTTAAAAAGTTTTTATCTAAAAATATTCATGAAGACGACACTGACAAAGTAGAAGAAATAATTCATGAATAAATTAAGTTATTATCAAGCTTTTCACATGCATAGTAAAATCAAGCTTCTATTTTATTGGCATCATTCTTATGAATGTCTTTAGATAAGAACTCATTGAACCTCTTCTTCTGGAGTTTATATTGAGATCGAATACAAGAAGATTGGAGAGATTAATGCTTTGTGAGTTTTTAATATAAAAATAAATAATATTTGGTCAAAATGAGAGGGAAAGGTGTTGGATGGTCCATTTTTTTATATTAGAGGCTATCCAGCGCTCCTCAAAAATAGTTCGCGGCTAAATTTGCACCTTTACCTTACTGATGTGTCGTGCCACGTGTCATTGTAAGTCTCACATAACGTCCATTAGCTGAAGTTAATGGTGTGTTACTAAATGCTCCATTTTTGAAAGTTCGTAATTTATTTTATACCATCTAATAGTTTAGGCTATCAACTGCTTCTAGAAAAATAGTTTGTGATTAAATTGCTACTTTACCTTAATTTTAATGGAAAAAATGATTAGAGATTCAAATAAGATATTTATGGGATACAAGCGAACAAAAATTTTTTTTTAATTTTTATTTTGTGATCCAATCATTACAATAATTTGACTTTATTGAAAATATCAATTCAAACCTTTCAAGCTTTCCTTTGCATGTCGAATTGAAGCCATCTTGTCTCATTTTAAGGAGCAAGTTATAATAACTTTAATTTTAGACAGGTCACTTGTAAGGAATTTAAAATTTTGCAAAACTAAAAAAAAATATTTTTAAATGTCCAACACTTGAAAAAGTTGGTATTTATATCTTTTGACTATAAAGATGTTTACTACAGTAATATGTAAAAATGATGTTTCTTTAATTAAGGATTACATAGTACTTTTCATATTGATCATTATCTAATAAATTGTCTCAATTAGAAACTTTATTAATCATATTTCCCAATTAAAAGAATTTAAAAAATCTTATTAATTATATCTTAAATAATTCAAAATTTCTTTTTTTTTTTAATCATGATATTTCAAAAAGTGTCTTATAATGCAGAACCAGAAGGAACATGCGGGAATGTTGCATGATAGGGGGGAGTTTTTGAATGCCTTCGGACTAGCCTGAGACAACGGATATATGTAGACTATGATTGAATTAAATAGTTAAACTCAGATTCAGCTGATTATGAAGAACTAGGATCGAACTGGTAACGCATGTTTAGCCATGCTAATCCCAATAAAAGGTGGCCTCCACAATCTTTCCCAACCAATTGAATCGCTCATGACACATCCTTCTCACAATTGAAAGTAGTAGTTTTTGTTTCAAATAGCAAGTAATGACAATTGAGTGTAATCATAAATCTTTAACTTCCCATAGATGATTATTAGGATAGATGGCAGTTCATCACGCACCAAAGCCACTGGTATTTCTTATTGTCCTCTTGCTTTATTAACATTGCCCAAAGGAGATGAAAGGGGGGCAAGGAAAAAGAAAGAGAAAGCACTTGATTCTTAGCCATACCATGCATTTACTTCATCGTAACATCCAACAAGGCTGAGAAAGGATCTCATTGCTGTTTATTCTTGGATAAACTCATACAGACAAAATCATAGTCTACGGATACCTTCCCATCAAAAATTGCTCCGGTACCAATAAACACCCTTCTGATGTTCGTCTGGCTCCACATAGATGCACTCTCCTGCTTCCCTCCACAAGGCCTTGTAAAACGGAGTCCCGTCAAACTGGTAGTACTCTCCAAGAAGAGGCTTCACCGCTTTAGTTGCTTCCATTGCATGGTAGTGAGGCATTGTGGAGAAGAGATGATGGGTCACATGAGTGTCTGTTATGTGATGAAACACCTTGTTCAGTATGCCATAGTCTCTATCCACCGTCGCCAATGCTCCTCTCAGCCAGTCCCATTCAGATGAATCATAGTGTGGCAATGCACAGTGAGTGTGCTGCAAATAAGTGATTGTCACCAGGAAGCTGTTCACAATCAGCAATGGCACCCCATAAACACAGAAAAGCCAACCCACTCCTTTCACACTTGCTATGTGATAGAGCACGTAGGTTGCGCCAAACACACAAGCATCAGACAGGTATATTAGCAGCCTCTCACGGTTAGAATAGATGGGGGCACGGATTGTAGTGGCTTGCGAAACGATCATAGTGTCTGCCAGAAACATTGAAGGCCAAGTACAAAGGCCACCCAAGGGTGAGTGTAATGAGGAGAGTGAGAGCCCTTCCCAGTGGGTTGTTTAGGTATTTGCTGCACCATGCCATTTTGGACTTGGGTTTCGGGACAAACACTTCATCACGTTCGAGGGATGCTGTGTTGGAGTGATGGCGGCGATGGCTGATCTTCCATGAGAAGTATGGGACTAGAAGTGCAGAATGGAGGGTTAGACCTACCAAATCATCAAGCCATTGGAAGTCACTGAAGGCATGGTGGCCACACTCATGGGCAATCACCCCACACACCGGTGAGAATGCAACCTTGGAGAGCCCAATAGATGGGCCAGAGAAAGTAGGGAATGGGGTGGGGAAGGAGATGGAAGTAAGTAGTGGCAGTATAGAGACTAAAGGCCAAGAAAAAGTCACGAGCAACATAGGAGAATGAGCAGAAGAGGGAACGCTCAAAGCAATGTGGAGGAATGGCTTTCTTGAGTTCCCCAACTGTGAAGGGTGGTTTTGAGTATGGAGACCTTGAGAGAGGCTTCTGTTGCTCTCCAGATATTTCTCTAGGTGCAGAAGCACACGGCCTCCGGCTCCCATTGTTTCCTCAGACTAGCTGGCATGAAAATAGGATTAGGCAAGTTCTGAATATCTAATTCCAAACACAGGAATCTTTGAAATACCACTATAAAATAAATGGCAGATGAATAAAACAATGATCAGAAAACAATATTCCAGAATCTGAAGGTGGGTCCTGTGTCTGCCATGGCATGACAGGAAATCACATGCAAACAAAGAAGTGGTCCTGCCAAGCTTGTAGGCCTATGACCCTTCAGTTAAACCCAAAAATGAAGGGACAAATGGGTGTGGGGGGAAATAATCAACATATTATAATATTCCCCTAAGCTCACGGGAAAATAACCAGAACAAAATTAACACATTTAGAGTTCATATGCCCTGCAGACCAATTTAACTTCATGACACGTAGCTAGTATCATTTTTCCTCTATTTGAAAGGGTGCTCCCAGAATTGATTTGGAAACCAACATGGAGGATGTTTACACCGAGTTAGAACACTATATTAGAGTTTCAGAAATAGGTTGATATGTCGCATGTAAGGCCAGGGATTTCTGATTCACAGGTTTGCTTAAATGTGTGACTCTAACCAGCTGACATACAAAACTAAATACAGTGATGAATTTTACAGGAGGGCCCACTGTAGTATGGCAAAGACCTATTTTCCAACCTTCCATGGAAGTCCAACACAAGTTCTGTGGCACTCATGATCATTTACTGGCCACATATTTTATCGAGGCTTTCCTTCAAATAAAAGAACGAAACAAAGGTCAAGTTCTTCGCAGGCGTGACTTTCGAGTTCACATGCAAAAC